AAAGTCCGATGAACAGTACCCTCAACTACATTGCGTTTATATTGCAATGGAGCGCAGCTTCTGAAGTTAAGGATAGTCCCAGTATCCGTTGGTTTTTGATACCATCCACATGTTACCTTTTTTCGTGAGTCCACATTAATGTTCAAATCTAGAAAGGCTAAGTCTCCGTTCGAATCCGGATTTTCGATAGTGAATTGTAAGTTGGGGTGGAGCTCATTAGCTGCTTTTAACACTATATCTGGATCCCCCTTTACCGTCCTCACTATATCATCTATATATCTTAGGAACGCTTTGAAATTTTCTGTTGGTTTTTCTTGATCTCGCTGCTCTTTACATCTCTTACAATACCAAACCATTTCTGAGATTTGCTCATATTCTTTGTCGGATACATTACTACACTATAAATGGTACCAATTTAAACAAGCTTCGCATTCGATCCCCTTACTTCTGTATGTTACCCTCCGCTCGCAATCAGGGCATAGGCCATTCCGGTTTTCAATTAGCTGTGTCAACGCAGGTACTTCCTTCATTAATGCATATTCGTACTCCTTTAGCCATAAATTGGCAAGAATGACAGCAAGGGATGCACCCATTGCCAACCCATCCTTTTGTACGTACCATAAACCATTGCATTTGAAGTGCACCTTACTTACAGCCATGTTCAACAATTTCTTCATAGTTCCGCGTGCCAGTTTAGGAGGACTAGTTTGTTCGTACAGTGTCCTCAGTGCTATATCTATTGCCTCCTTTAGTGGGACATTAGTGTACAAACTTTTGACATCCAGGGAGATAATACTCTCATTATAGTCTAGATCTATGTTCTCTATGATCTCCCGAGCCATTTGTGTGTTTGTCTCAATGTTTGCCCCCTCAATGTTGTCAAAAAATTTGGCCAAAATTTTATTTAGATGTTCATATGAGCTCCCTGGCAGTGACAGTACGGGACGGAGAGGGGTTCCTTTCTTATGTACTTTAGCCAATCCATATAATCGAGCTGGCTGCCCTCCCGTGGACCTAAGCCTACTATACAGTGCCTCATCGATCTCATCTTTCTTTTTCATGGCCAACAGTTGTGTAACAATCGCCCGGAAGATACATATCGACGGATAACAAAACTAAGTCTTAAGACGACTGGCTAGCGTCTAAACAGAGCTTTGCATGTTTTTCACCGTCTCTACCAAGCCAGTACTTTTCGGTGGTCTTTCTTACATCGGGTCGACAAAAACGTTACTGTTCTCCGGCTTCGACCAGAACGCTCAAATTAACTGAATTACATGCAAAAATAGTGAGCTCATGGCTGGGTCTCAGTATCCCCAGACCACGAGGTCACTCCTAAAAACAGGGCTACTACTTATTATATTACTATTGTTTTTGTTCAGTAGATAAAAATCATCATCTCCATCGAAGATGGATCAACCCTTCCCCCCCCCCCCAACTCTTAGCACCTCATCCTTGTCAAAACTAATCCAAATATCAATTAAATTCAAGTCAGGACATGACAGGATGCTAAAAGTTCATATGAGTCAATAAAAGTTTTCCGTCCCGAGACCCTTCCGGATTCTTGAATCCGGTGAATCAAGCTCCTTAAGTTCGATTTCACGACAACACGGAAGGCTGGTTTCTTACCCTTCACCGTTGTTCGCAACGGCCTTGCAACTATTGTAGCAGCACAATAGTTGCAACTCGGAACGTTCTCTGCAATCTGCTGCTGTTTTTCTTCAATTTCGACTTCTTCAATTTCAATAAAGTTGTTCTCGTCAGCGCAACTAATGTTGTTGTTCTGTTTTTCTTTCGTTTTTCGTTAAAATGGCCGTTTCAGCATTTCTCAGAAATGTGACGTCATCATTCGAATTTTTGAAATTTTAAAATACTAGAATATTCCAGCCTTCACCGTTTGGCTAAACGTTCCAATAACGCCCTTAGTTCTTAAAAACCACCAATCCGGAAGGCTTACTGCTAAAATTCCGAATTCTGCAGAGATTGCATTTTGGCCATTCTGGTCGAATGTCACATACTCCCCGGACAGTCCGGTCAATGTCCTCATTGAATCGCGCAATGTTCTAAATGGTTACAGTGTCATCGAACAGAATTTACAAAATGCACGAAATTACTTTTATCTACGTCACATCGACTCACTGCAGAATATAAATGGCATCATACTACATCACTATAGCCTTCAAATTCTTTCATTAATCTGCACATTGAGGATATGACTTAAGATAAAAAATTGATTCTGACTTCCAGTGTCAATGTCCCGATTAAAACTTCTTCTCTTATATTTAAAAGGTGTTGGCTTGCAGGACAGTCCTGCCAACCAACAAGCTAAAATTATCCTACAACGCTCCTTCCCTTCGGAAATCTTGCTTGTTTATTGTCCTGAATATTAAAACTAAGAAACTTTGTGGTTAGAAAGAACAATGCAACAACCTCCCTCTTCAAGAGATTACTCAAGCCTTCCACGTCACCACAAAGTGATCAATCTTCCTAAGTGATTAAAAACAATCATGCAGGCTGGAATATTTAAATATACTCTTCCCTTAAGCCTTTCTAAATAAATAATAAGTGTCTCTAAAGCCACTTCCGTTAAAATCAAAATGCAAATTTATAAATGCAACAATTTCAAAACTCAACAAAATGTTTCAGTTTTCAATTACAACTTGGTTGCTTGGTTTCTCACTTGAGTTTTTCACACACACAAAACAATTCTGAGTTTTGACTTTTCTTCATCATCCCTTTGTTCTCTTCTTTTTTCGTCGTTTAGAAGTTCTAAAACTTCTAAATTCTTCTAATTTTCTTTCTTGCTGCCTCTTGTTTTCTCGACCATTCGTCAATGCTCCATTTCCTCCTCCTGTGACACTGACTCCGCACTTTCGGTTTCCGTGTCTTGTAGCACGTCATTGACTATCCTGACGCTGTTGGAAGCCGTCCTCCAACACTTCTGCTCTTCCACCCTCTGTTTACAGCAAGGTAGGGGATCCACGTTTGATTCTCTGTTTCTACAGAAGCTGTTGTGGAGACACAACGTCACGTTTCTCTCCAAATCTTCTTTCAGCATCTCTGCCTTCTCATTTCCACTACGCTCGCTCGTCCTGGAAATTCTTTTCACAGCGGTGGTCACTGCATTCCGATGGGTCACGAAAGCTCGCTTGAAAGCTCCTGCCCCAATGTCCAGCTGATATTCACTGTATACTCTGCCATGCTTCGACATATGCTTTTTCGCATACTCGTACAACCATGCAGTCATGTTAGCTCTGAACCATGGCATCAATCGTTTTCTTGCCCATATCTTCTTCACTTCCATCGGAATGTTTAGAACTTTGCACATTGTCTCAAAAAGATCTAAATCTTTTAGACAATCTAATTTCCGCAATTGTTCTCTCGTCGGTGCCTCCTGCCTATTATTTTCTCTCACATGAGCTTCCAGCCATCGTATTGCCATCATAACTCCCACTATCACTATTGTTACGGGCTGTGATGAATCTGGTAAACCCATGGAGAGCAGCTCTCCAGAGTCCCAGATCAACATCAGATTACTACGCTTGGGATACCACCAGGTCTGCAGCAAGCAGTGGCAAGGAAACTCATCATGCGTCAACATGATGCTCCTCCAATTACGTTTTCCCGAAGCTTCCAGCAATGGTTCCACTTCCATCATCACTCGGTGGATTTCATCATTCTCATCTACTGCATTGTAATCTGTGACAGTTGATCCTCCCTGTTTCTGTTTTTCGAAGTCACTGAAGTTCCCGCTCACATATCCCATGAACTTCTTTCCTAGTATTGACTCCAACTCTTCTTTGGTTCTCTCTGGAATTGCTGAGAACATCTTACATAGTAACTCGTAAGACTTTTCAGACATCCTCGCTAATCTCACACACTTCGGCACTGAGAAGGCTTGATCCACAATCGCTCTTGTACTCTTTACGTCCACAGCTACGAAATGTACAGGATATCTGCTCTTGCACATTGGAGCCAACGTTGAGCCCACCAAATATCGTGCTCCTGATGGTCTACAATAAGTTTCGCTGTGTCTGATGTTCATCTCTGTTTCGATTGCTTCCCTCCATTTTCCTATATACTTCTGCTCAGTCTGCAGAACTCCTGGGAATACTTCTACGCTGATGGCTGTGACCATCTCATGTTTCTGTTCTAGATTCAATAGTGACTCTAAAGAACCAAACATGCTGTAGAATCCTAGTGCTGTCACTAGATTCACATCGGTGCCTCCATGGCAATCTGCTATCAGTTCCGTTTCCGTTCTCGCTTTCATCACTACATTTCCAAACAATACTGTCAACTGCTTGTGTTGTTTCTCCAGGGTTTTCACACAGTCTAGACTTCCACAGACGTGACCCTCTAGTCCACAGACTTCCGCCAGACAGCTACCAGGTTTGACCCAGTCTTCTGGTCCCCAGCCAGGCAACTCCACTTTATGTTCTCCGTTGCTCTTAGAGGCTGTTATCATCACATTATATATGATGTTGAGGTCACGCAGGTTACAGTCTGCATTCAGTTCCCTCTGTACGTCTTGTGTCGCCCTTAATATTGAGTCAGCGTTGGGACTAGGACACCATGATGGTCTCATCAATTCCCACACTGCCATCAAGCTCGTTCTCAGTAATTCATCTGAGAATCCCAACCCAAACTCCACTCTCTTGTCGGATTTTGGTACTGAAGGTGCAGTCACCTCTTCTTCCAAGACCAGTCCCAATTTGGCCTGTGAATTGTTGACGCTTTTAATCGTTACAATTCTGGACGTCCAGAATCTTAGTAACACCGCCTGCTCATAATCAAAGAAGCAATCACGTATGTCTTCACTCAGGAAAGGATTGTACGCTATCCCTAAGATCCCAGATACATAGCTATATGACTTCTTCTTGATCGGTCCACAGTATTCACTGGATTTCGGCAATGCTCCCATAGATTCTTTAGTGAGTCTCAACTCCTTGTTTGAGAATCTCCTGATCTCGTCTATCCTTTTCATGGGTTCCAATTCTTCAGGTTCTTTCATGTTCACCCTCATCGGTTTACTCTGCTGCATCTCCAGCATTGCTAGTAAGAACAAGGCTTTCGTTCGCTCATCGCCTTCCCTCAACATTTTAACACAAGTGTTTAATGCGGGTACTGAAATCTGCTCTATCAGGAATCGAATGAAACAGAGAGCGTCTCTCCGCTTCGCACACGCTACTGCTGCTCCCTCCTGGACTATCAGATCCCTCAGATTCGTCATAAGGAAAACCTTTTCTTCTTTTGATTTCTTTCTTTCTTCTGAATCATATTCTTCGCGAGTCAGTCCCATCATACACCAGGCGAACCTGAGTTGTAACTCTGTCCTTACGTAAGGTACTGCCACGAGAGCATGTATTCTTGGCGTAGTCCTCATTTCTTCTTCGAAATACCTCAATACTACTGCTTTCCATGGAAGGCTCACTAACTGCTCGATCGTTTCCGCCTCTACGTCAGACGACGCCAAAGTTCCATACGCCTTCTGCTTGAGGGTGGTGCCTTGCAACATCATTTCCAGATAACCCTCCATGGCTTTTTCGTCTTCCAGGGCCATTACATACCCTCTAGCCGAGTTTCGGTATTCCAACATCTCCATGTATCCACCGGTGGGTTCATCTATCGACACTGTCTCCGACACGGTTAGTCGGTTGTATTCCACTGGTGTTAGTTGTCCTGCAACACTTCCCTTTCCATGATTCATGGGAGATGGCTTGAAGTCCCTCATTTTGCTCTCTCCACATTGGCTGAGTATTTCCATTTCTAACGTTGCTCCAGTCAGAGTGCGGTCACTCCTTTTGGATTTATAACCGGTTGACTTTATCCCTGCCATGAGAAT